AAAGAGACTGATGGTGCCACGCCCTGGTTGCAGAAGTCAACGTTCCTGTTCTAGTGATTGTTCTTGTTCGCGTTCACACATCGAGAGAAGCTAACTTGGATAAGTGGCTTGCAGTATTTTGTGAGTTATAGGACTTTTGCCACAGCTATTATCTTTGTTTATTTGGGCTTGCAGCCAACAAGAGCTTGGACTGATTAAAAGAATCCTTTTTAGTTACATGGCTTTTGGCTTTCATTCCTGGACGGAGAAGGGGGGTCAGACCAGGAATGTATAGGAGGCGAACGAACAATTGTATATACATACCGGTATAGAACTGCTGTATGATGTAACCTTTGGTTCCTTTGTTGTTTTAATCTTATGCTTCTGTTTTGTTTACATCTATTGGTGTTGAAAATAAAATGTATTAAAAATAATAATAATAAAAATATACATGGTTGCTTTGAACGTCAGCTGCCCTGTGCCTGCCCTTCCAAAGGAGACAGGATCAAGCCTCAATAAACGGATTGTTTCCTCCCCACCTCCTTTTTTTTTTCTGCAGAAGCCATCTCCAACGAACTCTCCGAGATCACCGCCGCGGACGCCGAGCCCGTCGTGCCCCGGGGAGGCTTTGATTCTCCGTTCTACCAATCCAGCGAGAATCTCTCCGGCTCTCGGAAATCTCAGTCGCTCGTTTCAACCGCCGCAGGGCAGTTTTCGAACGCCGATCCTTTGACATCTTTCCTGGACCAATCCTGGCTGGAAGGCCCGCGGGATACTCCGAAGCAAGCCTTCACACCCATCGAGCGGCCTTGTCGGGATGCCGAAGAGATTCCTGGGAGAATCCAGGAACTGTGGGCTTCCCCCGATCCGGGCATATTGACTCCCAGCCCTTGTAAAATCCCCGCTCGCCAGAGACCTGGCCTCGGGAGCCAACCGCTTCCCGAATACGAGCACCTGTTTGAGGTGGCGTTACCCAAAACTGCTTACCTGTTTGTCGGCCGGAAGACGGAAGAGCTGCTGAAAAAATTCAAGGGAGGACTGGAGGATGAAGGCTTTCTCTCTGCTTCACCTTTGAGGGTTCTAGACAGGCTGCTCCAACACGGGGCCGATGTTCACAGCAGAGAACTCAACAAGTAAGTGGCTTGTGTCTTTGTTGGACTCGCTCTGGATAATAAGGCGGGTTAGGAGCTGATCTGCGTTGACGGCCGTTTACAGCGTCCTTGTTCTGACCGAGGCTTCCCGAGAGCACGAAGCAAACTCCTGGTCCTGACAAAAAACCCTTTTATTTNGGCTGGGAGTTCAGACATTCTACTCCCTCTGCCCACCTGAAAAATGCTCTGATGCTAAGGAGTTAGATTGCGGGAGAGAAGGGGATAAGATAGGAGAGGCCTCTGTGGGGCCAGCCTGAGGGAGAGAAGGGGAGAGGAGAGGATCTCCTCAACTTAATAACCATTCATTTAGTGACTGTTCAAAGTTACAACGGCACCGACAGAGTGACCTGACCCTTTTTCACACTTACAACCACCGCAGCACTAAATTCAGACACTTGGCAACTGCTTCATATTTACGACGGTTTGCAGTGCCCCAGGGTCTCCTTTGGCGACTTCCTGGCAAGCCAAGTCAGTGGGCCAGCCGGGTTCACTTAACAACCGTGCTGCTTAACGGCTGCAGTGATTCACTTAACAACTGTGGCAAGCAAGGTCGTGGAATTGGGCCGAAATTCACCTAACGGATGTTTCACTTAGCAACGGAAATCCTGGGCTCGATTGTGGTCGTAAAGTCGAGGCTTACCTGTAGAGGAAAATAAAAATTTTCATTCTTCCCACCTGCAGCCTTTTCCTGCAAGGACCTATCCTCCAGGTGGGGCAGATTTCAATCCCAGAATTCTTTGCAGTAGCCCTGGAGGCTTCTGGGGGTTGAAATCCACCTCGTGGAAAGCTGCAGTTAAAGTGCCTGCCTCTGCAATTTAATTTGAATTAAATCCTCTTTTTTTTCCCCACCCCCAGGAGGAAAAAACAGATCCTTCGAGGCCTTTTCTGTCCCGGCAGCAAAATATCATCAACAGAACTTTAGGTGAGTTTCCGTGCTAAATTATGGCCCTTTTCTCATATTTTCATTATTATTGACCCAATTTACACGGTAAACGTCTTTAGTGACTCTCCGAAGTTACAAAGGCACTGGTAAAATGTGACTTACGACTGTTTTTCACACTTACGACCTTTCCAGCTTCCGCAGGGTGACATGAGCCAAATTCAGAATGCTTGGTGGCCAACTCATATTCATGACGGTTGTAGCGTTACGGAGGGGAGGGATCACGTGATCCCCTTTTGCGACTTTCTGGCAAGGGTTGGGGGGAGTTGGATTCACTTAACAGCCGTGTTCCTAACGAGAACTGCAGTGATTCGCTTTACAAGCGTGGCAAGAAAGGTTGTAAAATTGGGGGGGGGGGACTTACTTAACCAATGCTTCATTTAGCAATGGGGTTTTTGACCTCGATTGCGGTCGTAAGTCGAGCATTACTTACTTCTTGGCTTTCAGTGTTGGGTTCCCCGAGGAAGGGAACAAAGCAGAACTCTTGAGCTTTCTCTTTCTTTTCTTTTTTTAAGTTTTTTTTATGTTTCTTACTCATAAATAACATTTCACAAATATACATTTCTCATAGATATTATTAGTGCTATACATTGTCCTTTAACACTTATAATTCCATTCTTTCCCCTAAAGATACAATAATACATTTGAGATTGCTTTCCTGCCATCCCATACATCCATTATGTATTACAATAACCCTACTTTCCTCTCTCTTTCTCCTACCCTCCCTTCGTCTCTACTTTCTTCTTTCCTCTTCTCTTTTCTTCTTCCCCTTCCTCTCCCCTATTCCTCTTCCCTTCCTACCCTCTCTCCTATTCTTACTTCTCCTTCCTTCCTTCCTTCCTTCCTTCCTTCCTCTCCTTTTCCCTTTCTTATTCCCACTCCTTCCCTCTCTTTTCTACTTTCTTCTTTCCTCCTCTCCTTTCTCTTTTCTTCTTTCCCTTCCTCCCCTCTACTCCCCTCTTCCTTCCCTCTCTCTTACTTCTTCGTCCCTCCCTTCCTGTCCTTTACCCTTTCTTCTTTCCCTCTCCTTTCCTCTCCTCTCCTCTCCTCTCTCCTTTCCCTCCTTCCATTGTTGTGTTTTGATATGCAGAACTCTTGAGCTTCCTTGTTAGAGCTTGTTGGGGTCTTTCATACAGATACTCCTTGACGTATGACCGCAGGGGGGAGGTTCCATTATGGTCATAAAGTTGAGAACTGCCTGTAGTGCAATTTACCTACTTTTGATAGCAGTTGGAGGAAGTCAGCAAAATTTTGGCCAGGGGAAAAGGGCTGATGGAAGGTATTTGTATTAGTAAGGGAATGTTGAATTTCTTCTTATGTTTTCTCATTTTCTTTTTTTCTTTCTTTCTTTCTTTCTTTCTTTCTTTCTTTCTTTCTTTCTTTCTTTCTTTCTTTCTGTCTGTCTGTCTGTCTTTCTTTCTTTCTTTCTTTCTTTCTTTCTTTTTTGACCTCGATTATTCAGATTCCCAAGGCAGTAAAAATTCTGTAACTTTAAGCGACCTGCCCAACATCCTGGGTGACCTCGAGGCCTCTTGCGAAGACAGCGGAGAGAAAGACCGAGAGGAAGGTGAATATATGGGGTTGCTTCGGTACCAAAGGAAGAGGAGGTGCTAAGAAATTTTTTAGGATGTGCAGAGACGGACAAACTGACGAAAGAAATACAAGGAAAGGAGGAATCAAAATATTATTTAACCTGGAAACAAATAGTTAGAAGACAGAAATAAGAAATAAGGAAACCTAAAACAGTGATGTAATAGAAGTATCAGGAGAGAGAGATAAGATAAGATATAGTTAAGATAAATTAAGGAAAAGTTGTTAAGAGTTAGTTAGAACACAAAGTACAATATAGATAACATGATGGTCTGATATAAACAATTATGCATAAATAAATATGGAATAGTACAAATAAGTATAGAATAAGGACACCATGAATGTAAGATAAGAATGTGTTGTGGCTCGGCAGGAGCTGTTGGCCACCAGGTGGCAGCAGAGCATT